TATATATTATTTTTTTTTTTTTTTTTATGTGTGTGTGTGACCACGCAGCAACACACAAAAACACTTTTTTTTCTTTAACTGTATTAAAGTTTACCAGGAATAAAATTTAATTAGTGCTAATTTTTATTTTAATTTTTTTAACATATTTTATTCTGTGTATTTGTCAACTTACAGATTTATATATTTTATTTCTATCAAGAAAAAAAAGGTTTATTGTTTGGTAAAAATGGACACGTCTGTCAATAATTGAGATTTATTGCTGAAACAAAAAAATTGAAAAAAACAACAACAACAAAAGTGGAAATAAAAACTTCAATTTTTTTACTTTGTGTTTTTTTTTTTTTTTTTTTTTTTTTGCTGAGCTTTAATCCGTTTTCTTTACCCGCTTCTGCCTTTTTGAGTAAAATCTAAGTTTTATTTTATGTTAAAGCTAAATGTGAGACAATTTATCCACAGATTTTGAGTCTGATTTTAAAAAAGTTTATTACTCTGAGATGAAAAATTTAAAAAGTGTTAATAATGATTTATTGCACACTTCTAAAACTGATGTTTTGTTTGTTTCTGTCCTGCTGCTCCTAAATCTTTAATGATTTATGGTTTTAAATGGTTCATGTTGTAGCGGCTTCTGCCTTCCAGCTTTAATAAATCAGTCACAATGTGGGATTATTATTATTATTATTATTGTTATTAACAGATAAATAAAACAGTTTTTTTTTCATCACACATTTCTATTAAATTCAACACAAAAGGTAAAGATTCACAGTTGACCTTTAGTTTTATAATTTCCTTCGTGTGTGTGCGCGCGCGTGTGTGCAGAGCCTCGGTTCGGTCCTCAGTCCAGTCAAGCTGCAGCACCGGGGGAAATCGAACCACTGGCCTGAGCTGGGGGGAGCAGTGAGCGCCTGTAGCATGATGTCCTACCTCAAACAGCCCCCTTATGGGGTCAACGGCCTGGGGCTGAGCGGAGCCGCCATGGACCTGCTACACCCCTCGGTGGGCTACCCAGGTAGGACCCGGCAGCTCCTGGACCTGGACGGGAGGAGGAATCCGGTTTCTCCTCCCGTCTTCTGTCTAATTAAATTTGTTGTCGTGTTAAAGTTTATCTGACTGCCTCTTTTTCTTTTTCTTCCCCGCAGCGACTCCCAGGAAGCAGCGGCGGGAGCGGACCACCTTCACCCGCTCGCAGCTCGACGTCCTCGAGGCTCTGTTCGCAAAAACCCGGTACCCTGACATCTTCATGCGCGAGGAGGTGGCGCTGAAAATCAACCTGCCCGAGTCCCGAGTTCAGGTACAGCACGCCTTCACGGACCCTTTTAAAAGCTGGGCTATTTCGGAGTTCAGTTACTTTGAATCGGTGTCATTATCTTAATTTCTATAGTTTTAAAAAATACAGATATGTTAAAAGAAAAATTTCCTACTCTACTATTTTTTCCATTGCTGCTTTTATTTTATTTACTTGCTCCATTTATTTAGTGACATTTGGCTGAAGAGCATAAATATAGTTTTTTAATAAGTTTTAATATATCGACTGTCTGTGACGTAATTAAGGTAAATATTAAGCTAGTTTGCAAGCTACAAGCTAGGTACCTGAATATTTTATTAAACCTTTCTAGTTTCTGTATTGTTGGTCCATGTATGTTTTATGAAAAACAATTTACCGCACATTGTTAAAAGCTCATTTAACTTTACAACTTCTGAGAAAATGGAATAAGAAAACATGTGGATTTTGGGACATTGTTTTTTAGCTTAATTGGGTGATTTGATTTAACGAGCAATAATTAGTCTTTATATAAAGTGCTGTTTTGGACTAATCTTGGTTTATTATTGACTTAAAAACAGGCACATTTAACTAATGTTAATTTACAATTAATATTTTTGTTTAGCCTAATTTAGCCTGTTTTTTTTTGTGTGTTTTTTTTTACCACACAGGCTCGTTTTTGTTTAGCTGGCAGACAAATGTTGTTTTCGTGTAATGAATCAGACATTTCTGATAGTTGCTCATTATGTAAAATGTGCAATTTTATCTGAAATGTAAGGAAAGTCCAGGACTTTATCAGGAAGCGCTGCACGTTTCACTTGCTGTTGAACCATGCTCATGAACGCCATAAAAGGGAAAGCCAGGGCCTTTAGCTCCCAGTTGGAGTTTTTTCAGTGCGAGTGTGAAACACACAATCCTACCCTCTCAGTGCTCTTGAGTTACCCTACTGTGCAGTGAAACCCAATAGCCTGTTATCTTAGAGCCGTCTTCCAGGTATGAAATTAGACCCCTGGCTGATCCAAGCCAAGGGGCCGGTGGAAATGAACCTTGATGGATAATAACCCTCAATTTTTCTCTATAATGTACTCCCATGGCCGAAGAGGTATTTTTCTTCTTCCTTTCTCCCCTTCAGGGAATGCAGAGGTTGTGTGCTAACGTTAGTGTTTTTTGGTTGTAGGTGTGGTTCAAAAACAGGAGGGCAAAGTGTCGCCAGCAGCAGCAGAGCGGCAGCAGTGCCAAGGCCAGGCCGCCCAAGAAGAAGTCCTCTCCGGCCCGGGAGAGCACCGGATCTGAGAGCAGCGGCCAATTCACACCTCCTGCTGTCTCTAGCACAGGCTCTTCCTCCTCTTCATCCTCGTCCACCAATCATACAGGCCCCGCAACTCTTAGCAGCACCTCCACCTCTATCAGCACTGTGTCCTCCATCTGGAGCCCCGCTATCTCCCCTGGAAACGCCCCTGCTCCCGCTGTGGCCCCGCTCCCCGAGCCAGGACCCCCGTCTAACCCTTCCTGCATGCAGCGTTCAATGTCAGGCTCTGCTGCTGCCGCCACTTCCTACCCCATGTCCTACAACCAGACGCCAGGCTACGGCCAGGGCTACCCCACCCCTTCCAGCTCCTACTTCAGTGGCGTGGACTGCGGTTCCTACCTGGCGCCCATGCACTCCCACCACCACCCCCACCAGCTGAGCCCCATGGCGGCCTCGTCTATGTCAGGCCACCCGCACCACCACATCAGCCAGTCATCAGGGCACCACCACCATCACCACCATCACCAGGCGTATGCTGGCTCCAGCCTGGCCTTCAACTCGTCCGACTGCCTGGATTACAAAGAGCAGACTGCAGCCTCCTCGTGGAAGCTCAACTTTAACACCACAGACTGCTTGGACTACAAAGACCAGGCCTCTTGGAGGTTCCAAGTCTTGTGATCGCTCTTTTTTTCCCACCCCTCCTCTCTTTTATTTTCCAGAGTAGTTCGTTGCTTGATATTGAAGAGTTTATGAACCATAGCAGCAGGAATGCTCAGCAATCAAACTGCTTGTCCTCCTCATCTTAAACAATGAAACTAACATTTAAAAAAATAAATCTTTTGCGTCCCGAGAAGCATCTGGAGCAGCTATTTGATGATGAAGAGTGGGTTTATAAGACAATACTTCTTGGAGGAGATTAACCAAACTGTTTTTTTCTTTACTTCTTTGAACCAAACCTCTTCAAACCACCAGTTCTCTGGATGGGAGAATATTTTTCCCCTCTGCTGCACTGACAGGAACTGCCTGCAGGGCCCTTTTACCTCCAACCCAATGTACAGTTTTTAATTTCTCTAAATTTGTTATTTTAGGATGACAGAGATTTTTAGTCAGCTGCAGTGAGGAGCTGAAAGATGTAAATATGTATTTGGGTCAGTTACATTGACCATGATTAGTTGGCTTTTTTTGTTTGTTTGTTTGTTTTACTGATTTTTAAATTGTTTATAACAACTTTGGGAGGAAAATAAATGTATGTAAATCTTTTCAAATATTCCAAAGAGAACAAATTGGCCATATAGTTCAACTTTTACATACATTCAGAGAAAGATTTGGAGCAGGTCTTGAGCAGAAAAAAAACACAAAAAAAACCCACTTAGACGCAGAACTTTTCTGGGCCTGGGTCCAGGATTCTGATCGTATTCCAGCCTCCAACTCGACCTCCTCTCCTGGGCATTGTTGTGACATTTGGATGTTTTGAACCTCAGCACTTGACTTGAATTTGGAGTCAAAGCATTTTTAAATATTTTGGAGGTGGAAATGTGGATTTGAAGCTCCAACATGAGAGTGAGATGTTGAATGTATCTTAAAGGCAAACCACACTTTACATACATGTTCATCTAATAAAGATCTGTTAAATCAAATTATTATTATTTTTTTCACTGAATTCTGTCTTGACTCCCTGTAACATTACAAACTCAAGGCTGCTGTTTTCTCTCACTTGAACTTGTCGCACTATTATTTATTGACTTGTTTATTTTGTTTCCCTCTAATTACAGCCTTGTTGATGCAAATGAGTCAGTAATTGAAACATGCCTTGTAGAAACACATTTCCACTTTAGAGAGCAGCTGGTTTAATCCTCTCTGCCTGCTTTAAATTGAAATACTAACATCTTATTCTTGCTTTAGGTTGGTTAAATGTTATTTATTTATTGACTCCAGCGTTAAAAGTTTGGACCAAAAGCCATTTGACCGAGGCGTCATTGAACATGGCGCAGTAATTGAGAGATAATTACTTTGTTTGGTTTCCCCCAAAATAAGCTGCAGGAATTTCAGGGCTTCTGATGTGTAATTACTGAGGTGGGGCCAGGTTAGGGGGTCAGATGGAGGAGGGCTTGGTGGGTTTATTCTGACAAGCAAAAAACAAAAGTTTTTAAAGACAGAAATGTAAAAAAAAATTAAAATCAGTTTCTATAAGGCTGATTTAAAAAGTAAAATTGTTTTGTAAATCAATATTAAAATTCGTTTAATTAAAATAAATAGGAAGCATTGCTGTAAATGAGACAGTGACGGAACATTTCAGTTTAATGCAATTATTTATTGTCTTCTATTGTGAGGACAATAAATCCTCCAAACGCATGAAAGTAGCGCGTTGAATTCGTTTTATTTTAAAGAGCAACAAGTTGGTTTTTTTTTAAAGGCCAAATCACTATTGTGATTTTTTTTAATAAATCTAATAATTCCTGCCTGCTTCATGCGGAGTCAGTAGCTGAATAAATCTGCGCCACATTTCCACATGTTTGCGCAAAGAGCGCAGCGATTGTCGCAGACAGCGGAGTGTTTGTTGCGCCAAACTGCGCCTGACTTCCTCCTCTGTCTCTTCTCCACTTGTTTGAGGCGTTTCTGAGGATCCGCAGGTCCCTGATGACAAAAGGCTTTGAGTTTCCTGCAGCAAGTCAGACTCAAACATGCGCTGGAAAGAAGGATGGAAATCAAAATTGTGTTTAGAGCCGGGGGGGAGGGGGGGGGGGCATGAAAAAAAGCCACGGAAACGGGTTTAATCTGGGATTGAAGGAACAATGGAGGGATTAAAGTCTGGGGGGACAAAAACTGGCCTTTCATTGCTGAAATCCTGCAAATATATTTAGGTTTCCTCACTGATGCCGAGAGCTCGATTTTATTTTAATCTTATTCAATCTTAAGCAGGAGGAGCAAACTAATGTGCAAAAATTAAACGTTCAAAATAAACACAAATAGATGCTACAAAGGTTGAAAAAAAAAATTTTTAAAGAAAAAATGCATTTAATTATCCAGAGAACATTTGTCAAAGATTATCATAGAAAAAAGAACAAAAGTAGATATTAATTTTCTCATAATTTAAAGTTGTTTCAGTCTTAAGAAATTCTGAGGAATTTTCTTTTTTTTTTTTTTTAAACAAAAAACCTTGAAGAAAATTCCGTTTTTAATGACAAAGCTGAAAAACTAAACATAAAAACAAAATACAAGTCAAAACCAAAAGTTCACTGAAAAGTGAAGACTTAAACTGCAAAAACAAAAAAAAAATTGTATTTATTTAGTTAATATAGTTATTCTGAAAAATATGATTGGGACGCAAGTCCTCCTCAAACACTAAATTAAAAATAATCATCAACATTTGTGACTTATTAAAAATCAATAATGTAAAAAATGCATTTGATAATTCACAAGATTGAACAACGAATAAGCAAAAGAGTAAATTTAGTGTGTCAGATTTGTCTGGTTCTGTCCAAATATCAGGTTTCAACTCAGAGAAGGCCGGTTGTATATCATAAATATGAATATATATTAATCCGGTCTGTAACGTCACAACTGAAGGAACAAAATAAAAACCATCATTAACTTGCAAATGGTTCATGAGCCACTCGGCTGCTGAGGCTGTCCAATCAAATGTCCCCCTCTCGTCTTAAAATGCACATTTGGCATCTAGATTTTTATTTATTTTATTTGTTTCAGGCAATTTTCTGTATGGGACAAGTAAAACTCCTAAAAGCTGTTGATTGTTTTGCGGCTGCATCCTCAGAAAGCCTGCTCGATATTTTAACCTGAACTGAGAGTCTGACGCCTTCGTGTTCTGTTAGCTCGATCCATTGAACGGCCGCGTCACCTGCTGTTAACTCTTGACCTCTTGCCCTCCCGCCCGCTCCAATACGAACGTGGGTGGACTGGAAACTGTTGACATTGAGTTCACACATTGTCCACGAAATGAACTGGAACTGCACCGGACTGTTCCCTTTTTGCATGAGTGCCTAGATTCCGATCTCGGAGAGAGCGATAAGACAGATCCACCAGTATTTGGTTTAGGCAGACCTCACAGGCCTCTATAAATCAGCCTGTGAGAAAGAGATTGGAAGGACCGGGAGATGCAACGATAGCGGCCTGCATGCTGGGACTGTTTTCTTCCATTAACGAGAAAAAGCAAAACCAAACAAAAACCTCCAAAACTGTTGCTCGTCTTTCATTGGCTGTCAGAAGCAGCCAGGCTTGGGCATCCTCATGTGTTCATTGGCCGGTCCGAGCAGAGAGAGGTGACGGGGGGAGGATTATGTTTACCTGGGAGATTAATCTGGGGTCAACTGTACAGTGCTGTGGGTATACTCTGGGCCACCGGCTCTGGTTTCTTTGCTTTGTTGGGCCTCTCTTTCTCTTCAAGTCTGAGTGTACAAAGCTGGAAGCTTCTGTAGGTTTACTGGGGGTGGGGCTGAAGTGTTCAGCAAAAGCCACCACCTTGGAATCCAAACTCAAAGCAGGTGAGAATCCCAGCAGTTTCTGGGTGGGATTCATTTCTGAGTTCAACACGAGCGAAGCAGTGCAACGGTAGTATCTTAGATGGGTCTAAAGCCCCCAGTATACTCCCGCGTAAGTACGTCCACGCAGAGGTACATGTGTACCTCCGCGCACGGATGTACGCTGGAGTATACTGGGGGCTTAAGTCTCAGAGGAATCCTGACGTTCCTCAGGGTTGGACGAGGAGTTAAACAGTCTTTTTCTTTGGGTGGAATTACAGGAGGACTCTGGTTACCTGATCCTAGAGTGAGCTGTGAGATTTGGTCACCTCTACTTTTGTTGGGTAGACTGATTGCTTTGTTGGCCAAAACTTGTGACCGATAAGCAGTTTTCAAACGGTGCAGCTTGTTTTCACACCAATTCACACAGGGAAGCTAACCATGACTTGTTGCATTGAGAGGTCCAAGAGTCTTCAATAAAAGTCC